CATTGGTTTGGACCCTCAGATTGGGGCCTTCTAAAGCCTGGCCACCATTGTCACTAGGCCCAGTAGGCTGGGAAAGGCAACTGGCCAGAGAGTGTGGCATTCAGTCAGCTGGGTCCAGCAGTCTGTTTCAGGACCTAGGTCCTCAGGTCTGGAGGGAGAGCAGGGTTTAACCAGAGGCTCCCAAGGGGAGAGGAGAGAAAGTGGGGGACTCGGTGACCTTGCTGCATCCAAATCCCTTCTACCCCAAAGTCAGTCTAGGTAGTGACAGTGGCTCAAAGGACGGTGAAGGCTAAATGGTGCCCCTCCCATTCATACACTCTGCAGTCACTGTCCAGGGCAGAGGAGGGCACAGGACAGTGGGCACCAAGGCCAGGCACCAGGGCAGCAGCCTCCATTGCTCTCCCCTCCCTCTGATGTGCTGATGAGCCTGGAACCGCCCTCTCAACCGAGGGTGATGCGGAAGGTGTGGAGGACTGGCCTGGGAAGGTTGGGAGCAGTTGGGCTTGGTTACTGGGTCCCGAGGCCTGGATGCAGGACTGGGGCAGCCCAACTGAATGTTATCCTGCTGGTGGCACCAGGCCCCTCTCCCATCACACAGACTTGGTCTTCCAAAGGCTTGCTGACTGGGCTCCAGGACCTTCTAGAGACCCCCTCCCCATTCCAGCAACCCCCTCCCAGGCCACCCGAGGTTGTGTAAAACTGCAGAATCGCAGTCACAGGGTGAGCTTTGGTCAGGACTTCACCACTGCCCATTAACCAGAAAGTTTCGGCTCTTCCTCCTGGTGCCTCCTCAAGCTCTCCTGGATCCCTTCTCCAAAGAAAAGCCTTGTTTGTTTGTTGGAAAGTTGGTGAGTGGCCTGGGTGGGGCAGAGAGTGTGGTTTGGGGGCTCCGGAGAGGGAGTGGGGGCAGGTGCTTCAAAGCTGAAGGAGGCAGAAAATCTCTGAAAAGTCACCGTTTGCGCCGAAAAAAACCTCATAATCATTCTCATTTCGGCTTTGTCACCCCCACCGTGCTGCAGTCGGGCGGCGGGGGCGATCGAAGCTGCAGTTTTATAGCTGTAGAGGAAAGAACTCGTAAAATGCTAACAGCTTTTATGCGCTGCGGCATAAACAACAACAGACTCGGCTTTATTGCGTTTTATAGTTTGTTAAAGAGTTTACAGCCGTTTTTGGGGGCCGGTTACCCAGCCAATTCCCTCCACACGATAGTTAAACCTTTATCAATAATAAGGAAATTGATCATTAAAGCTTTAAATATGACTACCTCGTTTGTTTGAAAATATGTTTAGGAGAGGAAGCTGTATGATTTGATAACTTGTATTAAAATACCAATTACATTTATAGGACCTTTTAAAACTCGGTGCAATTAAACCGTGTTCTTTTACATTTTTCCGAAGCGACCCTGACATTTAAAAAGACTCCAACTGCCTCGTTAAAATCGCGAAATTAACAGCGTGCCTACGCCTGGCGCGTTGTGTATGTGTGTGCGTGGTTTTTTCCGTGCGCCCCACATCAGTCTTTGGGGGTGGTCTGCGAGGGTATTTGATTTGTTGCGAGGCGAGAGATATCTCATTAATGTAGGTAGTTAAACAGATTTAATCCGTATTCATGCTCTCTCCCCCCTCTCCTCCCCGCTCTCTCCCCCTCTCCCCCTCTCTCTCCCTGGGTTTTTTTTTTTTCTTCCCCTCCTTTTTTTTTTTTTTTTTTCCGCTCTCTCCTCACTCCCTGGCGCTCTCTCGCTCTAGCTCTCTCTCTTGCTCGCTCTCTCTCGCTCTCACCCTAGCTCTGCGTTCTGTCCGGGAGGAGTACGGAGAAGCCAATAGGATGCGGGGTCTCTAATGGATGCAAATGATCATGAAAAGACAGTGCAAAATATGAAACAACTCATTTGCAGGGAAGTAAATCACCGAAAACTGTTTATGAACTGGCATCCCTTCTTCGAAATGTAAAGCGAGGACCTCTTTAAGTGGCGGTATATTTTTTGGGGGGGTGGGGGGTGGGGGAGGGCGAGCGAGCCGCGGCTGCCATGCAAGCTTAGACTTTTGGAGGCTTCGCTGTCCTTTTCTATTCCTGGAAATCACAAAAAGTGTGGTGGCTTCGAGATATTCTTCGCCTTTTCTTTCTTTTCTTTTTCCCCCCTCCTCCTTTTCCTCTCCTTTCCTGGCGAGGGTGACTAGGAGCCGGCGAATCCGCGTTTTTTTCTCTCTCTCTCCCTCCCTTTCCCCCTCCCCACCCCCTCCCCAACAGCCCCCAACTACAGCCGCCGCCGCCGCCGCCGCCTCAAAATTCAATAAAATGAGCTCTTATTTCGTCAACTCACTGTTCTCCAAATACAAAACCGGGGAGTCCCTGCGCCCCAATTATTATGACTGCGGCTTCGCCCAGGACCTGGGCGGCCGACCCACCGTGGTGTACGGTCCCAGCAGCGGCGGCAGCTTCCAGCACCCGTCGCAAATCCAGGAGTTCTACCACGGGCCGTCGTCGCTGTCCACGGCTCCCTATCAGCAGAACCCGTGCGCCGTGGCGTGCCACGGGGACCCGGGCAACTTCTACGGCTACGACCCGCTGCAGCGGCAGAGCCTGTTCGGTGCGCAGGATCCAGACCTGGTGCAGTACGCAGACTGCAAGCTCGCCGCCGCCAGCGGCCTGGGGGAGGAGGCCGAGGGGTCCGAGCAGAGCCCGTCGCCCACACAGCTCTTCCCCTGGATGCGCCCGCAAGGTGAGCTCGCGTCGGGGCCGGCGGGGGGAAGGGAGACCCGGGGCCCAGGCCGGCACGGGGGGCCGGGCAGGCCAGGCGCGGTTCCGCCAGCCCCTGGAAGACTTGCTTGTTCTGTTCAGATAGGCTCCCCCTTCTTTCCTTCCTTCCTTCCTTCCTCCCTCCCTCCCTCCCTTCCTTCCTTCCTTCCTTCCTTCCTTCCTTTCCTTTCTTTTTTGTTTCCCTTGAAGGAGGTCGCTAAGCGACATTTCCTGAATCCATAAACCCCTCACCCTGCCTGACTTTTTTTCTTCTTCCCCTCCTTTTTACCCCTTTTACTGTTTTATGGGGGGTAGTGGAGAAAGGGTGGTGGGAATGGGGCGCTCAACTTTTGCACTTCTCAATTGCTTTATAGTTTAATTACCCTGAAGAAACTTTTCTTCTGGGGCAGAGGCTCTGGGGGCTTTTCAAGGTGGGTCCATTCGTCCCCATCCTGGCTTTTTTATTCTTACTTTCCCCCTCCTTCACATCCTTCCTTCTAAAGTTTATGGCACTTTTAATAGATTCAACCACCCCCGCCCAACTCTCTGGTGCTGGTTACCAGGGGAGGGGGCTCCCCTTTCTGGCTCCCTTAGATTCAGTGGTGTCTGATCCCCCTCACCCGCCCCCCCTCGGCTGACCGCGGCCTCCCAGCGCTCCCGCCCCTGCACGGGGTAGAAGGTCCCCTGCCCTTATTATACTGGTCTCCTAGGCTGGTTCACGAATCTTCCAACCTTCTCTGTCTCTGCCCCCTCCCCCACCCTCCCCTCCCCTCTGTCTCGCCCTTTCCCCCATTCCCAGCAGCCGCCGGACGCAGGCGAGGCCGACAGACCTACAGCCGCTACCAGACCCTGGAGCTGGAGAAGGAGTTCCTATTTAATCCCTATCTGACTCGCAAGCGGAGGATCGAGGTATCGCATGCGCTGGGACTGACAGAGAGACAGGTCAAAATCTGGTTCCAGAACCGGAGGATGAAGTGGAAAAAAGAGAACAACAAAGACAAGTTCCCTAGCAGCAAATGCGAGCAGGAGGAGCTGGAGAAACAGAAGCTGGAGCGGGCCCCGGAGGCGGCGGACGAGGGCGACGCGCAGAAGGGCGACAAGAAGTAGGCTCCAGCTGGGACTGCCAGGGCCGCGGCCGCCCTGCCTCCGCGGGTCACCCGACCGCGCTGCCGTCGCCCGCCCCCGCCCGAGACAGCTCTAGCCCCGTGAGCGGGGCCCGGAGCCTGGCCTCCCACCGCAGCTTCCCCGCCGCGCCAGTCCCCGCTAGTGGTAGTTTCTCGTAATAGCTTCTGTGTGTGAGCTACCGTGGATCTCCTTCCCATCTCTTGGGGGCCGGAGGGGTGGGAAAGAAAAGGATTTTAAGCAAGGACTCCCTCTCCCTGCTAGGGTGAGCGGCTGCGGCCTGGCTGAGCCCCACCCCCACGCCCCTGCCCCGTGTAAAAAGCCTCCTTGTGCAATGGTCTTTTTTCCTTTGAACGTGCTTCTTTGTAATGACCGAGGTACCGATTTCTGCTAAGTTCTCCCAACAACATGAAACTGCCTATTCACGCCGTAATTCTTTCTGTCTCCCTCCCTCTCCCTCTCTCTCTCTCTCTCTCTCTCTCTCTCTCTCGCCTCGTACTCATTTCCCCTCCCACCCCCCTCCCCGCTGCCCTCTCTAGCTCGCTGGCTTTCTCTCTGGCTTCTCTCTTTCCCCCCCCCCCGCCCCCCGCTTTGGTTTGACAATTTTGTCTTAAGTGTTTCTCAAAAGAGGTTACTTTAGTTAGCATGCGCGCTGTGGGCAATTGTTTAAAGTGTTCTTAGGTTTACTGTGAAGAGAATGTATCCTGTATCCGTGAATTGCTTTATTGGGGGGCGGGAGGGCTAATTATATATTTTGTTGTTCCTCTATACTTTGTTCTGTTGTCTGCGCCTGAAAAGGGCGGAAGAGTTACAATAAAGTTTACAAGCGAGAACCTGAGACTTGCCCGGCCCGCGCTCCTCATTTGCTCCCGGCGCCTTGCAGAGCTGCGGAGGGGGGGAGCCAGTCACCGGGCTCCTGCGTCCGCCTGGCCGCGCAGCGGAGGGGGCGGGGGCTGGAGGCAGGTGGTGCGAGTCCCTTGGCCCAGGGGCGCAGGGGATGAGGGAGGCGGCTGCGCGTGATTGGAGGAGAGACGAACGAGGGAGGGGAGCCGAGAGAAACCCCCTCCCCCTCCCTTCGCGTTCCGAGGCTGCCGGCCCCGGAGACCCCCGCGCCCAGGCCATGCTGGAGAGATGCGCCTGGGCTGGTGGCTTTATCCCCCCAACCCCCCAACCTCCCCCTTTGTTTTTGTGTGCCCTCTCCTGTGTGTGTGTGTGTGCGGGGGTAGAGGTGGAGTGCGGAGCTGATGAACAAGCTGAAAAAAAAAAAAAAATTTAATTTTTTTTGTTCTCCTGGGGGGGGGGGGGAGCAGGAGAAGGGAGATGCTCTTCCCTGCCTCTCCCTTTCTGGGACTTGGCCACCTTCGCCCAGCTCCGAGGTGGTGGCTCGCCGCCTTCCTTCCTTCGCTCCCTCTGCTTCTCCAGTAGCCACGCTCGACTAAGGCATCCGCCTCCGGGAACCAGGAGAGCAGCATACCAGGCCACCCTCCTCCCTTCCTTTCTCTTCCCACCCACCCCACCCCCTTCCTTTTTTAATTTTCAAACCTTTTTTTTTATTTTTTAGCCACCAGAAACCGCAGCATCCAACGCCCGTGGGCTGGATTCCGCGCCTCTGGGAGCACCCAGGAAACCTCACTCCGTCCCTGCCCGTCTGGGGCAGAGAGAGAGAGAGAGAGAGAGAGAGAGAGAGAGAGCGAGCCTTGAGGCCAGGCTCACCTCGCTCCTCACCTCGGGAGAAACAGACCAATTCCGGACTAAGTTCCCCCAAAGGCCCAGCCAGGCTGAAGCGGTCCGGATTAATAAAGACCTGGCCTGCCCCCACCCACCCACTCACCCGGTTGTATGCAATCCCTGCGTTTGTTTCTGGCTGGGTAACGGGCTGGGGAGGAGGGGGTGACAACAAGGATCGCTCTCGGAGGTTATTTATTTTCCCTTCCACTCAATCCCTTCTTCTCCAAATCTCGCCTGCAAGCTTCCTCCAGCCCACGGGGGTCGACAGCGGCCCTTGAGCCCCCAGCCCTAATCCACAGGGCCTGGTTTTCTCATTCATTATTGATCATATTTTATAAATCCAACGCCACACAATTTTTTCCACATTACCGGGAGCCGTGGGGAGGCTGCCCGGCTATTGGCAGAGGGGACGTCACGTGGGCGGGGTCACGTGGTCCAGAGAGGAAAAAGGGGGTCCTTTTTGGTGTAAATCTGGACTCTAATTCTGTAATATATCAAGGAATCTCGTAAAACCGACACTAAAACGTCCCTGACTACAAATCATCCGGCCAAATTATGAGTTCATTGTATTATGCGAATGCTTTATTTTCTAAATATCCAGCCGCAAGTTCGGTTTTCGCTACCGGAGCCTTCCCCGAACAAACTTCTTGTGCGTTTGCTTCCAACCCCCAGCGCCCGGGCTATGGAGCGGGTTCGGGCGCTTCCTTCGCCGCCTCGATGCAGGGCTTGTACCCCGGCGGGGGGGGCATGGCGGGCCAGAGTGCAGCCGGCGTCTACGCGGCCGGCTACGGGCTCGAGCCGAGTTCCTTCAACATGCACTGCGCACCCTTTGAGCAGAACCTCTCCGGGGTGTGTCCCGGCGACTCTGCCAAGGCGGCGGGCGCCAAGGAGCAGAGGGACTCGGACTTGGCGGCCGAGAGTAACTTCCGGATCTACCCTTGGATGCGAAGCTCAGGTAACGCCGCGCACCGAGCAGTCCCGAGCGGTCCCGAGCCGCAGTGGCCCGGGCACATTCCCCGGAAGGCGCCCCCTTCCCGGCCAAGTGCCCCTCTCCTTGTCCAGAGTGCTCCTGGTAGGAGGTCGGCCCTGGGGACGCGGCCCCCCACCCCGAGCCGCGAGCCGGCGCGCCGCCCCCATTCCCGTTTTTGCTTGGTGCTCTCAGGCTCGCTCGCTGCTTCCCTAGCGGATCCCTCTCCGCCGACGCCGCGGCGCTCTGAGCCCCCAGACCACCCACCCCCACCCTTCCTCCCGGCCTTTTAGCTTTAAATATTTATCAGCCGCGCCGGCACGGGCTGGAGAGGAGGCCGTTTGTCTTGCGGAGGAAGACTGGGGTTTGCAGAGAATAGCCATTAGGATCTCCCCCCTCCCTTCTCCCTTCCCCAGCCGGGGATCTCAACTCTGGGTGTGTCCCCCAGCCTCAGCTTGGATAAGGTCTAGGGGAGGGGGCTGCAGCGCTGAGCAGTTCTCCCCTCCCTCTTTCTTCCCAGCCAACCCCGCTCCCCCATTATTCCCTTCTGGACAATTAGAGGTGGGCTCTAGAGGCCTGGTGGGAGGAGGGGGTGTGAGAGGTGATGAGGATTCAGCCAGGGACACAGAGCCAGAGAGGCAGGTGGAGAGAGGGGGGCTGAAGCCAAGAGAGAGCAGGCTCCTGACCCCCAGTAAACTTGGGAAGCGGGAGGCAGGAGAACTAGAGAAACTAGAGAAAGGGGCAGAGGCCTCAGGGGAGTACAGCTGGCTTCCTCAGGTGCCCTTCCTAGCACCCCTGGAGAACTGGCCAACTAGTTTGCAAGTGTCGTTCCAGAAGGGTGGATGTCCTCTTGGGGGAGACACTAGGACTCCAAAAAGCCAAATCAAGAAAGAGTGCAGGCCACCGAGGAAGCTGCTGCAGGAACCCCAAGAGACCAGGGGCTCCGTGGGGTCTCCTGACAAGCCTGTCCCAGACAACCTTCATAATGTTGTCCTGGACTCAGAGGCCAATCTCAAGGTCCAGAAGACCCAAGACTTGTGGTCGGAAGCTCCCAATCCGGCCAGGGTTGAGGGCCAGGAGAGCCCAGCTCTTACACTTTCCGTATTCGTGGTCACGGTCCCCATTACCTGCTTCATAATCAACTGGCTTTCCAGCTGATTTATTAAAGCCCCAATTTTTCTGCTCATAAACATTTCAGCTTGGCTTTTATCTGACTTGAAATTAGGGCCCCTAGCCCCTCCTCCCACTGTCTCCTTCCTAGGAGGGCTGGCACCAGCACCTCCCCCAAGCCTCCTCAGGGTTTGGGGCCTAACCTGGGAAGCTCTTCCCTGCCCTTCAGCCCCCACCAGCCAGATACTGAATGTTCTACCCCAACCCAGGCTGCTGTCTCTCCTCTCCCTCTGTGCCTTCCTGGAGGCCCAAAGATTGCTTTGGAGGGCTGGGTTGTCTGGGCAGGTGGGCAGGCAGGACAGCCTGGCCCTGTCTGAACCTCAGCCACTCACTGGAAAATAGTCATCAGAAGGCAGTTGCTCTCCAACTGACTCCACGCTCCAAGGAAGTCTGCAAATTCTCACCTCCTCCTCATTCCACAACAGGCTGGGGGAGGGGGGAGACTGGACCTGTGAGGCTCTTTGTCTCCTTTTCTTTTTGGGAAAAGCCCTCAGGCCAGGCCTAGAGTCCCACTCCAGGGTCACTTGCATGGTTTATGTTGTCCTGTACCCCCAAAGACCATCAGAGTCCGCATGCAAAAGGGGAGACTTGGGGTTCCTGGTCCCGGAGGATTAACTGCCTTTCATCCCACATACACACCCCTTTAGGCACAGGGCCTTCAAGAGCCAGCAGGTTAGACCTTGTTAGAGGTTAGACCTCAGAAGCCCTAGGCTAGAAGACTTCCTGGGTGGAAGATGGGAGTGTTTGCCTTGGGAGGCCTGTAGAAAGGTCTGCACGTTGAGGAGAGATGGCAGGCATAGGCTGGGGTATGGATAGTGACAATTTGATGTAATGGGAAAGAAGCTCTTCCAACCACCGATGCCAAACCGCATACAGGGTCCAAGAGGGAGGGGAGCACTCTCATGGCTCGTTCCTCACTCACTGATTTTTCTCCTGCAAATAACCTGCGCAGGGACCGACCGCAAGCGAGGTCGCCAGACCTATACCCGCTATCAGACCCTGGAGCTGGAGAAGGAGTTTCACTACAATCGCTACCTGACGCGGCGGCGGCGCATCGAGATCGCGCACGCGCTCTGCCTCACCGAAAGACAGATCAAGATCTGGTTCCAGAACCGCCGCATGAAGTGGAAAAAAGAGAACAAGACAGCGGGCCCCGGGGCCACCAGGCAGGACAAGGCCGAGGCGGAGGAGGACGAGGAAGAGTGAGGGACAGAGAAAGGGCAGAGGAAGAGAGACGAAAAAGGGAAAGAGAGAGAGAGAAACCCAGCTCTGGGAACTGAACCAGGAAACTCAAGTCAAATAGGGAGGAAAAAAAAAAACTATTTAAATGGAAAGCAGTTAATTTTTTTTAAGGAGAGAAGGTGAAATTTTGGTTTCTTAACACTGGAAAAAAAATACTACCTATAGGAAAGTCCATCAGGTTTGTTTTGTACAGTATGGGAAGGACATCATCTACCTGTTCTGTAGCTTTCTGGAATTTGCCTCCCCTTTTCTATGTTGCTAATTGTTAAGGTCTTTGGTAAAATCTTGCTGTTTTGTAAGCCCCATCTTTGACGCTGTGTGTGTGGTCTGTGGGTCTGGAATAACATGTGTGGTTCCCCGGCTTCCTGAGCAACCCCCCCTTCCCAGTAGCGGCACTGAAGGGGCCTTAGGGAGCCCTAAGGACCCACCAACTAGCTCAAGTGTCCCCTCTGTGCACCTGGCCTGCCCGCTGCTCCTTGCTCCCACCAGCCCCTGTGATCCTCTTTGCATTCTATGTGTATCTGAAGGATGGAGAAATAAAAGCAATTAAAAATAAACAGAGCCCCTATTTTCTGTGTCTCCCTAAGGCTGGGAGGGGGTGAGGGATAGTCATGCATCCCAGCGCCCCTTTGCTCCAACTTCTGCTGCTGGCCCATTTCTTTCTGTGCTGGGGCCTCTTCTGTTTTCTTGTGCCCCTTGCTCTGGGGGCTGCCAACTAGTGAACTTCGGATACCACACACACACATTCCCTTTACATTTTTTTACACATATTGACACGCAGATGCACCCAACCACACCTATTTACAGGCTAACACTGCACATAAATAAATATATACATTGTCACACACAGTCACAAACGTCCATATTCATATGTTCACAAATAAACAGACAGGCATTCACACATCCCAAACCCTGCCCAGAACACATAGTATTCACATTCACTCACACAAGTAAACCCACGTTCATATTCACAGACATATTTATACATACCAGGGTACACTCACACATCGGCTCATAAAACACACAGATTCACATTTGCCCCCAAGTAAACACGTCCTTGAGTCCACATGCCCAGTCGCACACATTCACAAAACAAAACAAAAAACAAGCCCCCCACAGTTCCACAAACTCTTCCTCATTCAGGCCTTCACACGAGGCTGTGGCTTGGCGCCGCCGAGGCACAAATATAGAGCTGAAATCTCAAGTGCTAGGCCTCAAGCGAAGAAGGAGCGGAAGGAAAGGGAAGGTGACCACCCAAATCCACTCCCCCTTCTCGCGCCGGCGGGCGGGCGGCGTTGGGCAGAGGCCAGACCGGCGAGCAAAAACCTCCCGGCCGCCCAATCAGGCCTCCAACGTCAAGATGCTCCTGGCTTTCCGCTCGGTCGGCAAACATTTTCCACAAGAGCTATTCGGTTATTTTATTGAAATTTATTTTACTTTCATTTATTTTAATTTATCTTATTCTAAATTGACCCAGCGACCCAAGTAAAACTTGAAATTGGGGGAAGAAAATGAGCGCCGAGAGCGAGAAGCTGAGCGGTGCGAACTACCCGGCCGCATCCCTGCTGCTCTGAGCCCGGCCGCCCGCCTTCCGCGGGCTGCCTCTGAGCCTTTCTGCCCGCTGTCTGCGCTGCCGGCAACCTGGAATCTTCTCCGGAGTACAGAGAAAGAGAAAAAAGAAAAACATTTGTGTGTGTGGGAGGTTATTTCCTTTCCTGCATTTGGGCGCTAGTAGCTCAATTCAAAATTCGGGCATATTTCAGGGGACCTGGGAAACCTGGGGTGAATCTGGGTTGTTGTTTGTCTCCAAAACACCCCCTTGATTGAGGGATAAATACCCAGAGGACGGTGCCTACGTAGCTAGACCTGCGGAGTTGATTTTTAGTATCTATTCGATTATAAACCCTGAATTATTTAAATTTAAAGATCGGGCATCGGAACAGAGAAGGGGAAGAGGGTTGGAAGGAAGAGTGTTTTAGGAAAATCTGTTTAATCTGAATTTGTAAGTAAAAGGCTCCTAAACCTTCAGTTCCCTCATTAATGACCGCAGACCCCCCCCCGCCCCCCGCAGAGCACAGGGAGTTGTCCCTGGGAACCTGGGCGTGTGGGCATTTGGGTGGGAGAGTCAAGGGTCCGGCTTTACCCTCCTCCAATTTCTGGGGTGCAGAGGCAAGCATCCAGTGGCTAGAGTGTCTGCCTTGGCCCCCATTAGCCTCTTTGGGGCAAAAAGTAGGCCCTAGGAGATCTAGGGCCCCACACCGGCAGTGCTACAAGCTTCACAGGTGGGGTTCCCGCCATCTATAGTGCTGGGAGTGAGGGGGGCATTCAGAGGTGGGAAAGGGGGCACTGAAGCTTTCACTTTGCCCTGATGCAAGTGGCAACTCTGGACACTAGCTGCTGCTCCTAACTCACCCCCAGATTGCCTTAGAATGGTCCCTGTGTGGAGGTTTTGGGGTGAATTTTTACTAGAAGAGGGGACAGAACTCCTGTGAGAATAGGGAGTTTCCAAAAAGAACCCCCCTCCCAGCTGGATGCTTGTGCCTCCTCTGCCTGATTCCCCACACCCCAAATCGCACCCTTTCTCAGATTGGGGTTTCCCCAAAAATCGAGAAGGAGAAGAAAAGAAGATGGCGACTGAGAAAAGCGTTGCTGGTGGAGCAGCCATGAAGAAATGCAATAAATTCCTTGTTGTTTTATGAAAATTTACAACTTTGTGATAGAAGTTTATGAGTGGTTGAATCCAGCGATTGGCCAGCGCCGGTCATGTGGCCGGGCGATCGTGAACATGAACTTTTTATCATTTCCCTGGTGGTTATAATGCAGCATTCTTTTGGACACCACACCTAGGTCGGAGCACTGTCGTCCTTCAGGGCTCCAGCCTCTTGATATTTTTATACTTCAGTATCAGCTCGATAAAGCAAAAGAGAGAGAGGAAAAGCGAGGGGGAGAGGAAAGAAGAGAGAGAGAGAGAGAGAGAGGGTGGGGGGAAGGAGGGGTGGGAATTACACAAAAGAGAAAACCAAAAATAATTTTAATTTCTAAGTTAATTTGCTTGCTGATCTGGGATTTTAGTCATCATGGAGGGTAAATGGACAATCTGCCCAGGACTGCAGCCTGATACCATTTTTCAAAGCCAGAACTTACTCCATTTTCTATGCAAATATCAGAAAAGCGAACACCCTCTCTTCCCAAGTCAGAGAAGGGGAAGCAACGGCTCTCAGGTTGGGATAATATTATCTGGAAGATGAAGAAGAAACCGAACGCTCTCTCTCCCTCTCTCTTTTTTTTTTCTCTTTCCTTTCTCTCCACCCCCTTCAATCGGAGGAAAGAAATCCCAAGGTCTGCAAAGGTAAGAGAAATTCTACAATTTCTTCTTATTCTTTTGCATCGATTTTTACAGGGGGTGGGGGCTTGGGTTTGTCTCTCTCTTCCCCCCGGCCAAGACGGGGTTGAACCCCACCTCTGGGCGCTGCAGGGAGAAGCTTCTCAGGACATTCGGTGGCCGAGAGAGGGGTGGATGCTCCCTGGAGGGGGAGCAGGGCAGGGAGACGGGAGGAGGAACAGAAAGGGGCCATGGAGGCGAGCTCTAAGTCGCCTTTTTAAGCTGGGAGGAGAGGTTTAAGCGAGGGGGCTGCAAAAGAGAGGATGGAGATGTCTGGGCTTCGGGACGCCGGCAGAAGCCGGTTGCGACGGCCTCCGTGGGTTTGCGCCCCCTCCCCCTCCACCATCCTTCCCTTGGTCCGGCCTCCCCCAATTGCCCCCGCGCAGTTCTCTTGCCCGGTGCGGGTATCGGGTATCGGTGGTTTCCCGGCAGCACTGGCACAAGGGGCGGTGGCGCTGAGGGACGTCCTGGTCTCTGGAGGGCCTGGAATCTCCGCAGAGGCCAGCAAGGCGAGGAGGCGTCTAGAGAGACACAGAGAGAACAATTCACAGAGAAATACTCATGATCTCCCTTCGGAGATATTTCTGAAATTCAAGGGCTGTGGGTGGAGGTACCCAAATCGAGGGAGACCTCCCAGGAAGCATGCCTGAAAATGCCCAGGTCGTTCGCCACTCCCGCAGGAGGGAGCCTCGCTCTGCAGGGAGACAATTTTGTGGTTTTTAACGCGGTAGGTTACAGCGTGTTGATTTCTGTGCAATATCGGTTCTATTACTTGTGTTTTATTGGTATGGATTTCGGTGGAGGAGGAAATTGCCGTGTGTGTCTTGATGTGGAAACATTTCAAACTTTCCTAGATCCAAATGTGGTGATTGTGAAGAAGCTGTTTAACACGTTGTTTTAGGCATGTAAACAAAAGAGAAAAACAAAAACAAAAAAAGAGAAGAATAAAATTAAAAGAAAATCCCATTAGGGGACCTGATGGTGTCCGGACCAGAAAGCTGCCTGGCACTGAGCTCAGACAGCTAATCCTGTCCCTCCGGCGCCTGATTTCATTCCCCAGCCAGACCTCCGGGGGCGGGGGTAGGGGGGAGAAGAACCGTAGGGCGGGAGGCCGAGATTCCTAAAGTAGCTGGTGGGGTTGAAAAAGGCACAAGTCGCTAGGTGAGGACTTAAAAATAGAGAGGGCTTCTGGGGAAGCTGCCAGACGACAGATAAGGGACTTAGGGCGCGGAGGGCAGGAGAGACTGTGATTTAGTTTGGTTTGCAGGAATAAGTGATTGCTTTCCTCTTTTTAAAGAGCAGATGCAGAGCATTCAGCCTCGGGCCTCTGGTTGCCCAGGGATTTGGGGGTCTGGGTGTGTGTAGGGGGATATTGACCCTCTCAATCCCGAGCTGAGAAGAGAGAAGCAGCCACTTGTGGCGCTGGAGGGGGGCCCCTGGAGGCACAGGTAGATGCCCTCGAAGCAGGCCTGGCATGGGTGCCTGAAGGGACTCCTCGGCTGCGTAGCGAGAGAAGTTCTCGGCCAGCACCCACGGCACTAAGAGCCTATTCTCAAAGGAAAAATTCCCCAAACCCACCCAGACTAAATGTCTTTTTCTCCTGTAGTCTTGGCGGGGTATAAATCATCCCTCAGACAGTTTACTCTGACCCAAATTATGCGGTTTGCTGCCATCTACCGTCCGTTTGGAGACATGCGGCTTCGGCGCCGAATGCCCCGCGACACTGCCTGAACCGTGCCCGACGACTGGAGCCCCCGCCGCTCTGGTTCGGCGGGCTTCTGGGGACGTCGGCCCAGATTGACGCTTTCCGCTGGATCTCGGTTCCCGCCTGCCCGCGTGTGAATTGGAGAACAAGCGTCCCCTCCCCCTTGTCAGCCTCATCCCAGCTCCAAACCTGGCGGCTGGCTGAGGGAAGCGGCTTTTTCTAGGGCATATTTAAAAAGGACTAATACTTCATCCCGCCCGCGGGCAGGGGCCCTGAATCAAAGGACTGGGGGATCAGAGTAGAGAGCCCTCTCCCCGCTATCCCCCTCCAAGCTCAAGAGGGGATCACCAGGGCCGCTAGGGAGATCCGAGGCCAAGGCTGTTCAAGGTTTATTTGGTTTTCTTTTCGGCTAAGGGAGGGGTCCCGCAGGGGAGGCGCTGGCCCGGGCAGTTCCACTCGGTTGTCAAAAGACAAACCGAGTCTGTTTTCTCCGGGTTGGGTGGTGGGTCTTGCCAGTTTCTTGGCCATTTGAGTCTGTGGTGAAGGAATTGAGCCGAGTTTTCTGGAAACTGTTGTCTTGCAAATGAATGTGCGTCCCCTTCCCTATTCCCGATCATTTCAAGCGAAATCGACACAAATATGCTTTGGGAAAAAAAACGGGGAGTGGGAGTGGGGATCAATCAGTAAGGAACCCTAACCCTTGTAATTTCCGTTCCTGCCGGACCCCTCATACCCACTTAAGCCGACTGCTTTCCCAGAAGCGGGTGGCGAGGGCGGGGGTACGCGCCGCTGCCGCCGAGTTTGAATATTGGCCCCTGTTTCACGGGTTACTGATTAGCTCGGGCTTTCAAGCCGCAGGAGGAAGCTCTGGCCGCTCCTTTCAAGGTGCTGTGGCCCCAGTTCCTGGGCGGGGGCTCCAGGAAATTGCTTGCGGTGCCAGGCAGGCCGAGGTGTTACTAGGTTCTGGCCCGGAGCTGCCGAGGTCGAGGGGCCCAGCGGTACTGGGGCAAACGCGGGGGCTGCGGCCCGGAGTCTTTGGCGCCTCTCGAGTCTGGGCCGCAGGAGCAGCCCTTTCAGCTCTTCAGCAGAGAGTGACTTTCTGGCGGCTAGAAGGCCCGGCCCAGTGCTGGAGGCCCCGAGGGAGCGCTCTCCGAAGGTCTTGGGGCCCTCGGAGGATTTTTTCTTGTGGACAATCCAAAGGACAGATGGGGAGGGTAAGGCGGCTGGTATAGAGGATTGAAACCCTGAAGGGCTCTTAGGGTGCCCAAGGACCTGGGGAGAGGGAGCTGAGCTGCCACTGCTCCCCCCTCCATCAGAGAAGATGCCGTTCATTTGCATAATGGAAATGTCTTTGTACTGTGCTTTGGACTGGCCAATTTTAAGGCAATGTTCTCTCTGAACAACTCTCGAAGAGTGGGAGAGGCCACACTGCTCCCTCTGGGAACATTTGTGTTCCCCAAAACCAGAGAATCACAGAGTCTAGGGGAAGAACTGGGTTGAGATGTTTGAATTCACCCCACCCCAATCACAGTTGGGAGTGGGGTGGGGGAAGGTGCCCACAGTCCTAAGAGCTGGGGGTGGGGGGAGCTTTGCAGCTGAGAGGAAGTGGGAAGCCTGGACAATGTCTCAATCCCCTCCCCTCCACACACCTACTGGCAAATATCCTCCCTGAGATTACCGGTGCAGGAGAATTTTACTCCAGAGCTGAACACAACTTAGACTTTTCCCTGGGAGCTGGAATGTGTGTACGTCCACAGGACCACAGGGTCATAGCTCAGAAAATTACAATTATAAATCCTGCCTGTGGGATTTCTATGCAATCCTTCTGCTGTGTACTCAAGACTTAGTACACGTTTATACCCGCCTCTCCATACACACACTTTCTCGTTGAGCAGGGGGAGACACCCCAGACCTGCCGATGGCTGTGCCCACTGTGTATTTACATATTCCCCCTTGGAGACAGACAGACGGCAGTGGACGGAACCACAGACAGATTCATAGAGATCTGGCTCCAGAAGCCAGGCGGCCTCTGGCCCAGCCCTGCCTGCCTGCTCTTTCTCCCAAACAAACGGATCAGACGAATAAACGCTCATAAATACCTCTGGGCTTAGATAAGAGCGATGAGGCGCTATTTCCTTTCATGCCGGACTCCAGGCGCCCAGGCTCTGCCTTTGCGGCTCCATCTCACGACAGGCAACCTGCAGAGGTGAGGTTAATTTGGGGCTGTGACTCTAAGGATAAGGCGATTATTCTTGTGTTTCTATCACAGGGGAAGACTTCCTCCCTCACCAAATCTTATGTTATCCAGGCTTCATGGAAAAGCCCACACCATCCAGTCCTAGTATGAGGACATTGTGGCCAGAGAGGAGGCACAGAGGGCTGAGGCCGAAGGCCCCGCCTCAGGAGCAAGGAGGAGGGAGGTACACGAGGCACTCCCCCCACCTTGCTCCTCCAGCCCAAATGCTCCCCATTCCTCTCCAGGAGTGGGCCTGACCACAGCTGGATTAGAGCACTTATGACTCTCCATCATTAGGAGGCTTGAGTTTATTTTCTTAAATCTTGACAAAACCCCCCAAAGAGTTGGGCTAGGAAGTGGTGGATGGGACAACTGGGAATAGCCACTTAGCCCTGAAGTTGCAGCCCAGAAGTTGTCCTGAGTTCAGGGAGCCTTGGAGGCCACTTTGCAAGCAACCAAGTTCCCACCCTTGGTCACCAACTTCAGCCCTCTACCTCTTTTCCTAATGTCTTGTGCCATCGTCAGTGGGCAGAACTGTCCCATAAAAAGGAGTCCAAAGAACAAGTCAGAGAAGGGTCAGCCCGGCCCCTTCATCATCAGGTTTTGTCTCCCACCCTGGCCCATTCCTGGCCCCAGGTCCAAAGGTTGTCACCCTTTATGCCTAGCCTCCACGTGCACATTAGAATGTTGAAAAGACACCATGGCTGAGTCTTCCAGCCTGCCTCCAATGCTCATTTTCCTTAGATGAGAGAGAGAGAGAGAGAGTCAGAGATGTACACACTCTCTCACACCAAAGCTTGTAAGTAGCAAGCGGGTGATACAGACATGAGACGTAGTAGGGATTGTAGAGATGCTGAGAGACAAACAGAAGGGTAGTGAGCATCTGGAGAGGGGATACGGAATGATAGTTGTAAGCTGCCTGCTGCAACCCCAGGAGGACCCAATCCCCCTCTCTCCTTATAAAACTAAACAAAAACCAAGTCTTGAGAAAGAATTAATTTTAAAGAGAACTGCCAGCTTCTGGAGAGACCTGGAAAAGGAGCAAGGGCTCCTCTCTTCCCAGTGGTCTCTGATTGTCTCCAATATCAGGAGGGTTTGAGGACCCAGACCTGGAGGAGGGAACAATTTCTTCCCTGAACCCAGACTTACTGAAACACCTTTGATTCCTAAGAATCTATAGCCCAGTATATTCTAATTCTATATTCTAATATTCTATATTCTATAGCCCAGTATATATAGCCCAGTATATTCTATTCTTTTGGGGTAGGAAGTGGGGTGGAGGGAGGGTTGCAGGCAGGATAGGGATCAGACAACCTAGGTTGGAGGATGCCTTTCACCCCTCCTCTCCCTATCCCCCTCTTCCCCGTGCCCCTTCCTGTGCCAAGAGCAAGCAGTACATACTAGAACCAGGCAAGATGTCTTGGGCAGCGGCAGCGGTAGCCTTCCCAGAAGCTCCTAGCCTAGCTGCACAACCAGAGGGAGAAGCTTAGCCTCAGACCCTGCTCCCATTTCCCAGCCTTCTGGGTCCTCTGGGCAGCAGGCTCTGGCCTGTCTCTCAGACCATAAGAGTTGCAGAGAAGCAGGAATAACAAACCCAGGCTTGGAGGAGATGGAGTAGATCTGAGAAACAGGAAAAACGTTTTTCAAAACCTGGGAAGAGAGGGTTTCTTCTTTGCTTCTCGCTTTCTGAAAACAATGCTGATCAGTGGAGAACTCTTCTCCCCTTCTACCAGTACAAACCCCGAGAAAACAGTCTCCTCCTTTAGCTCTCTTCTAAGGAGATTGAGATTCAAGATTCAGAGACATTTACCCACCTTCCCTGGAGGGAATAACCCCTGCCTTGCCTAACCCCAAGCAAAGCAGGGGTTAACTTCTCTGAAAACACAATTAACTTTTTCCTCTTCTGCGTGGGGAGGGGAGGGATATATTTATTTGATCACTGGGGGATGGGGAGGTATCAATCCAAGTGCTCCCTCCTCCCTCAAAGGCACAGACGCCTCTTTCGCAGACCCTACGTAGGTGGAACAGGACGGGTTGTGCTGTTGGGGAGAGAGAGAGAAAGCAGAAGGAGAAGAAGGAGGGGGGAAAAAAAAGGTTGATAGGTTTGTGCGCGGGTCCCTAGCGCGGGCTGCGCTCCTCCTGGGTGCTATTTGACAATTCCTGCCTCTGCCATTGGTCAGTGTTGGATCAGATGGTTGTATTTCCTTCTGGCCCTCACTGGCACCTCGCCATCCCCCCTCAGCTAAAACCCAATCTCAGATATACTACTAATAGGCGCGGCGCTCGGACTATAAAACACAACAAATCATAAACCCGGCGGAGCAGCAGCGGCCGCGCGCGCCTCCCCTCCCAATGAGTTCCTATTTCGTGAACTCCACCTTCCCCGTCACTCTGGCCAGCGGGCAGGAGTCCTTCCTGGGCCAGCTCCCTCTCTACTCGTCGGGCTATGCGGACCCGCTGAGGCACTACCCCACGCCCTACGGGCCCGGGCCCGGCCAGGACAAGGGCTTTGCAGCTTCCTCCTATTACCCGCCGGCCGGCAGCGGCTACGGCCGGGCGGCGCCCTGCGACTACGGGCCGGCGCCGGCCTTCTACCGCGAGAAGGAGTCGGCCTGCGCGCTTTCGGGTGCCGACGAGCCGCCCCCGTTCCACCCGGAGCCGCGGAAGTCCGACTGCGCGCAGGACAAGAGCGTGTTCGGCGAGGCGGAGGAGCAGAAGTGCTCCACCCCAGTCTACCCCTGGATGCAGCGGATGAATTCATGCAACAGTGAGTGAGACTTGCTGCGGCCGCCGCGACCCCCACGGGCCCCCCTCCCGGAGCCAGAGCTAGAGAGCACCCCCTTCTCCTCCAGAGAGAGCGTCTCGGGTCGGAGCTTAGGGAAGATTGGGCGCCTGCACCGGTCTCCCGCGCTGCCCTCCCTCCCTCAGGAGTTGCAAAGTTTGCAAAGTCCCAGATGCACTCCGAGTCAGGGGGAATGAGTGTGTTCTCCCGGAGCGCCAGGCCGCAGCCGGGATTCTGGGTCAGGGAGGCGGGCAGGGGCCGCAGTCACTGGCTGGGCTCTCCCTGTCGCCCCCAGCTCTGGTCCGATCCCCCCACCCCAAGACTGTTCATTAAAAACGAGTGCGTCATTGGAAGAGGGGCGGCGTGACGCTGGCGAGGGAGGGTTGAGTCTGTCCCGGACTGGTTTTCCCTGGGGGTCGGGGGTTGGGGAAAGATGAGGCACCAGGAAAGGGGTGGTAGTCAGAGGAGGGAGGGAGAATAAGGAGAAGAAAGAGAGGGAGCAGGCGGAGGGGAACAGAAGGAGAAGAAGGCGCTGGGATCTCAGGTTGGATTATTTGTCGGCCTTAAGTCCCAAATTGATGTCCATTAAAGGGACACGAAAGTGAGGAGCCCTTAATGCCAACTACGGATCGATCTACGTCATTACGGATTAAGGGCCGGAATCTATCACAGGATGGTGGGGGAGCCAGATGGATGGAAAGAAAAGATGCGGCTAGGAAGAGACATACCTGGCCAGTGCTTTCCCAGCCCCTCCCCCTAGGCTCAGGTGGGATTTAAAACTGCTCCTCCCATCCCCCCACCAAGAATCTAGACAGAAGGCGTAAGCCTAGGAGACCTGGAGGGAATCTGGAGGGGGCGCTGGAGGAGTGAGGAAGGAAGGGGGGCAGGGAAACAGGGAGAGTGGAGGGCATCCCGGGACAGGCTAGAGTCCCCGTTCGAGGGTCGAGTGGGGGAGGGGGGCTCTGGCCCTGGTGACCCCAGGCCTCAGCATCTCCTCTCTGCGTAACAGGTTCCTCCTTTGGGCCCAGTGGCCGGCGAGGCCGCCAGACCTACACGCGCTACCAGACGCTGGAGCTGGAGAAGGAGTTTCACTACAATCGCTACCTGACGCGGCGGCGGCGCATCGAGATAGCGCACGCCCTGTGCCTGACGGAAAGGCAGATCAAGATCTGGTTCCAGAACCGGCGCATGAAGTGGAAAAAGGAGAGCAAACTGCTCAGCGCGTCTCAGCTCAGTGCCGAGGAGGAAGAAGAAAAACCAGCCGAATGAAGGCGCTGGAAGGGGGCGGGGGGACGCGAAGGGAGAGGCCTTCGGGGAGCCGAGGGCATCGGAGAGCCCCGAGAAGGCTCTGCGGGCGGGGGAGCCTGGGGACCTGCTCTCCAGCGCGCGACAGGCGGGGCCACTGCTCTCCTGGATGCCCCCGCCCGCAAAGCTCTCGCTGGGCGCTGGGAGGCCGCGCTGCCTGAGCCCAGCCAGCACCCCAGTGCTCCCTCCATCCCCGTGGAACCTCCTCAGCCCAAAGAGGCTCCCCCGTGAGAACTGAGGACCGGACTCACTTGATGTTTCCTGGAAGCAGAGCAAAACGCTCTTGTCCGTGTCGCGTCTCATTTCGTCCATGTCCCCCGTGCACGGTTCAATGGTAGATTCGCAGTCCCCTCAGCGGGGGCCTCGAAGACTCCCTGACCCCAGACCTCTCTCCCAGCCCCTCCCCAAAGCCACTGGAAGGAGCACATACTACCTAGAAGTAAGAAGAGGAGCCTCAGAAGAAAACAAAGTTCTATTTTATTAATTTTCTATGTGTTGTGTTTGTAGTCTTGTTTTAGCTCTGGACGTGAAATACTTCGGTAATAATATTAATATTATTAATAATGATAATAATAATAATAAAGACGTAAAACCTCGCTGCTGGGTCACCTCTGCTCCTCCCCTGCCACTCCCCTACCCCCACCGCCACCCCTGCGTCCCCGTGCCGGAAACTCCGCAGCAAAGGCAGGAGCCCTGGTCGGCCCCAGAGGGCTCGGAAGTTACAGTTGCGATAAAGGCTGCAGCGGTTCGGCCCAAGCTCCAGCGCTTCACCTCGCCGGTGTTGAGGCTCACAACGGCCTCTCCTGGTGCGGAATTGGGGGACGGAGAAGGGCCGTTTCCCTCTTAGTCTCTAGCATTTCCTCGTTTGTCCGTGGCACGAGGGACGCCACCAAGGCCCTCCAGCCGGGAGCTCTTGCAGAGACTGAGCCAGGCGGGTCTCAGTGCCTCAGCAGCGCTGTTCTCTCCACAGGATCGCCAAGGCCCGTGGTCTTTGGCCTGCCCACATGGCCTGGTCTCCGCCGGCCTTGGCCCTTGGCTCCTGGCCTAAATTGGGGCCACCGGATATCTATCTCTTTGCCCTCAGCTGAAGACTCCCGGCACCCCTTCCTGCCTCAAGTAGTAGCTCAGCGACAAGTAGGGGAATGTGAAGCCGCCGGCAGGCGCCGGGCGAAGGGCAAGACTTTCCCCCTGCTCTTTGGAGACCTGAGGGCAGGAGGCCAGGTGATGGGGCAGTTCGGTCTCATCCCATCAACAAAAACCGACCCATTCTCTCCCCACCCCCACCCTCACCCTCACCCTCACCCTCACCCTCACCCAGGCGGCAAGCTGCGGAGACTGTTTTCCTTTCTTCCTCCTCCCTCTCTCTCCCTTTTTTATTTTTAAAGAAAATAGCCGCCTGGCAGAAGGGGCCCAGCTGTGGCGGTCTTTGGCCGCCCAGCGCGCTCAGCAAGGGGCCGCGGGTCCTCGGAACCCTTTTCCGGGGAAGGAGTGGGCCGCTGGGCAAATTCTGAAACTACCCAGACGCCAGCAAGGGGTCTCAAGTGGGGCATCCCAAGGCAGTAGCGGGCATCTGGTGAGAAGGCGAAAGGATTCTGCCTTGGTCCCAAACTCTCAGGACCATGTTTACACCCAAACCCCAGCCCCGACACGGTCGTCTCCACCGTTTTTCTCGCAACTAGGCCACTTAGCCCCAGCCGGCCTCTTCCTTTGGGGTCTCTGTCTTGCTCTGCCCTTCTTCCATCCTGGGCTAAGGATGAGGAAGAGGTCAGAAAGAGGATTTCAAACTTCCAAGGGAACAAGGAGAAGCGAAGGCTTCTCCTTCGAACCCTCAGCTTAGCCTCACGGGCTCAGCTTGGATGCTGTGGACGGGCCACTGAATCCCGGTCAGGAAGCAGGCCAGGCTGAGCTCACAGGGGAAACCCTTTGCAATCATTGTTTTTCACACACATCTTCCAACCTCTCCCCCATTTCCGTCCCCAACTCGGAGACTTGCAAAGCCCGAGTAAGGGAAGAGCAACTCAATCTTGGGTCATCTTATCCAGAGTTGTTATAATAATAATAATAATAATAAAAACGACAGGGAGAAGGACCGATGGACAGACGAACTCCACTCCCGAGAAAGTGGGTAAAGGCTCGACCGGGTTTCTCCTCTAAAAGATTCAACCCTGTGGGTGAGTCTAGGCCGGGTTTCTTTCGAGCCCCGCGGTTGCACGGAGCCGGCAGGGAGGCAGCTGTCGCCGCCATGGCTGTCTGCGGCCCGCGCTCCCGCCGTTCGCCGGGAGGTGGCGCGCTCTGCTCAGAGGCCGCCGCCAACCTTCTCCCTGTTTCTCCCCCTTCTCCTTTTTCCCCCTCTCTCGGAGGCTCGCATTGAATCGGCCCTAACGATTCTCGGATCGTCATTATTTGTAACCATAGAGCATGAATTACCTCTTGAGGTCATCAGCGAGAATTTACGACTGGTCAACAAAAGCACGTGATTCCCTAACGCCCCCCCATCCCCCTTCCACCCCCCCCATATTTGGCCGCATACATAGCAAAACGAAGTACAGTGCATCGCTATAATTCATTAATACATCATAAATCGTGAAGCACAGGGTTATAACGACCACGATCCACAAATCAAGCCCTCCAAAATCACCCAAATGAGCTCGTACTTTGTAAACTCCTTCTCGGGGCGTTATCCAAATGGCCCGGACTATCAGTTGCTAAATTATGGCAGTGGCAGCTCTCTGAGCGGCTCTTACAGGGATCCCGCTGCCATGCACACCGGCTCTTACGGCTACAATTACAATGGGATGGACCTCAGCGTCAACCGCTCCTCGGCCTCCTCCAGCCACTTTGGGGCGGTGGGCGAGAGCTCGCGCGCCTTCCCTGCGCCCTCCCAGGAGCCCCGCTTCAGGCAAGCGGCGTCGAGCTGCTCCCTGTCCTCGCCCGAGTCCCTGCCCTGCACCAACGGCGACAGCCACGGCGCCAAGCCCTCTGCTTCGTCCCCCTCCGACCAGGCGACCCCGGCCAGCTCCAGCGCCAATTTCACCGAAATAGACGAGGCCAGCGTGTCCTCGGAGCCCGAGGAAGCGGCGAGCCAGCTAAGCAGCCCAAGCCTAGCTCGGGCGCAGCCAGAGCCCATGGCCACCTCCACAGCCGCGCCCGAGGGGCAGACTCCGCAGATATTCCCCTGGATGAGGAAGCTTCACATCAGCCATGGTAATTCTCGCTCTCGCTCCCCTTTTTGTCTTCTCGGCTTTCCTTCTCCGCGTTTGAGGGGGGGGGGGCGGCGGCGAGGAGAACTTGGCTTTTCCTCAAATATAGATTTCTTTCCTCCAGAGGGGAAGAAGTCTCTAAGAGGGTCCTCACAGCTCAGCTCGGGGGGACAGAGCCAAAGAAGGTCTTTAGCTGGGGGTTTGGGGAGGAGTATTTTTAATAATTTGTTCCCAGATTCGCCTTAGGTTTTATTTGCCCAGCTTGAACTAGCTTTAGGATGAAGGATGAGGTTTATGTAACGTGGGGAAGGGTCCTGCTTTGCCCCCGAAATTTTGAGACTGTTTCTAGCAGAGGAGGGGCGAGCAGTAAAACGAGCCTTGCAGGGCAAAAGTGCAACCGTTCTCCTCCCTCCCGGGGTGAGCGACCGCCTGAGCCCAGCGAAGGGTGAGGCACAGGGAGGGAGCAAGAGACAAAGCCGGGCGCACTCGCTGCCAGCAGAAGTGGGGGCTGCAGGAGAAAGGGGTGCAGAAAGCGAGCTCGGATGCGGGCATCTGGAGTGGGGAGAATTGGAGCTGCGGTGAGCTGGGTGCCAGGGACGCCTGGGTCCTGCTCCACGCCCCCCTCCCACCCAGGGCCCCCTCCCTTAACCGGAATAACGTTGCCTCGCTGCTCTGTCTGCTCCAGATATGACCGGGCCGGACGGGAAGAGGGCCCGGACCGCTTATACCCGCTACCAGACCCTAGAGCTGGAGAAGGAGTTCCACTTCAACCGCTACCTGACGCGGCGGCGGCGCATCGAGATCGCCCACGCGCTCTGCCTGTCCGAGCGCCAGATCAAGATCTGGTTCCAGAACCGGCGCATGAAGTGGAAGAAAGACAACAAACTGAAAAGTATGAGCCTGGCTACAGCCGGCAGCGCCTTCCAGCCCTGAGCCCGCCGGGAGGAGCCCCGGGCGGCCCAAGAGCCCGTGCTGCTCCCAGCCCTGGCCCCTCCAAGCCTCCCCGCGCTGCCGCTGCCCGCTGGGGACCGGTTCCCACGAGCCTGCCTCGCCCGGGCCTTGTGCTACGATTTTTCGTTTGGTCTTAAGTCTTCCTGTGGCTCCCTCTCTCTTGGACTGGTTAATCTTGTTATTATTGTAATAATAATGATAATTATTATTTTCCCACCATGCTCCCCACTCCCCTCTGCTCACCCCAAATCCGCCAGTGTTTCTGAACGTTCGTGTCTGTGGTTGCACTCCTTCCCCCAGGACAAAAAGAAACTCGCATGTTTAATGTGAACTTTCCCCTCCCCATCTGTGTTCTTCTAACTTATTTATAAAAGGATGATCGCTGTATTTTGAGTTTCAGCTAGAAACTTCTCTAAAAGGGGCAGCAGTTGAGGTCGGATAGTGCTGCAGCACCGGGCCCAGCTGAGCTGGCCTCGGAGACCGGAGTCCATGACTGTGTCTCATTCCACCTTCCTCTTCCTCCTCCCTCCCCACTCCCAGGCCCAAGTCTCCCAAGACTTGGTCCTGGGGTGGGAGGGGGCCGGGGAGGACCAAAGGGGTGATGTTGAGAAGAGGGCCGGTAAATACTGAGATTTAAGTTCCTGCCGCCTGGGTAGGCCCCACAAGGCCTGGTCCTGGAGCATCCGGAAACAAAAATAACCCTCAGTGTAAAATGTCGTGTGTATTTCTCTGTGAATTCATGGGTCTGGCATAGAGGGCCCAGAGCTTGTAAATATGGGGATAGTCTGGGTCAGACCTATCCTCTCCTCCCTACCCATTTCACTTCCAAGACCATTTGTAGTGAGCGAGTGGATGCTGTGCTACATGTGAAATCTGTCTTTGCCGGGCGGGCCTGTCTCAGTGATTCGCTTTTGGTATTTGTTTGTAGCTTTCCTTGAAGTCAAATAAATGTTTCCCCTCCTCCATTGCCCTTCCACTTGTCTTTTCTCTGGGGCCTGCCTCTCCCATCACCGGGCACACCCTAGACCATTCTTGATAGATCTGGGGTGTAGGGAACGGAAAGCAGGACGCTCACCAGCAGCCCCTCTCAACCACCTATGTCTCTGCTTGGTCAGGGGTACTTGGGCCAGGGGACAGGCTTTCATGCCTGGGGGACTGAGAGACCCAGGAACCCCACATGAGCCTGGGGCAAGGGGCAAGGGGCAAGGCTGGGGCGAAAAGCAAGCCTTTGCTGAGCTGGACTCCACCCTGGCCTTCCACCAGCTGGCCAAAAAGTCTCTGGAAACCTCTTAGCAGAAAGTAATCTGGGCCTAAGTCCTGAGCAGGAGGCTCCTGGCCTTTTGGCGGTGAAACAGGCCTGCCCAGCGCCACTGTCCCCTGGTCCAAATCCCAATTCAGCTCTGCCACCCACTAAGGCCAAAAAAAACAAAAAAAAATCAGCTCAA